GCTCTCCTTACGAGACTCGATGGGGCGCAGTAATATTAAAATTACTAAAAATGTAAAAAAACAAAAAAAATCAAACTTATACCCAACCAAAAAAAAATACCGGAGTTGCATTTTGGTCCATCAACTAAATTATTTGTTCAAATAGTCCACCAACTCTTTATTAATCAACGAATTGGTCATACCATTATATTTTTTGTTAAATTTAGTCATGTGGGCAGCACATGCTATAGTTTTGGGGGCAAATAAAACTTTTGAAAACTATTAAATAAAAAAAAATAAAAAACCTATACGGTTAAAAATTAATACAAAATTTTCTTTATTTTTTAAAATTAATTAAAAACTATAAAAGAATAAAAAAAAAAACAACAAAAGGTTGACTTTCATCTGCTTGCAGTTCTGGTCAAGACTGCCCACTTTAATGCTCATGGACGGAACTGTGATGTGCAAGAGGATGATCACTTCGGTCCTGCAGGCCAGGGAAAATAAGGTTTCACTAGTTGATCTCATTTTGATTGTGCAATAAGCCCATAGGACTCCTAGTAGCTCGTCGACCCATTTTCCTTCTGTACCTTCCAATCTTTTCTTCAAGCAGTCCAACATAATCTTATTGGATGCCACTGCTTGGCCATTGTCTTGTGGTTATCTTGGAGTTGACAAGGGCTATTTGATGCCATACTTTGCAAAGAATGCAGTGATCTGCTTGCCAACGAATTTTGTGCCATTGTTGATGACCATCGACTTCGGGCGGGTGAATCGGCAAATGATGTTACTCCAGATGAACCGTTTAAAGTCGACTTCCTTGGTAAAAGATAGAGCCTTGGCCTTGATCCACTTAGTGAAGTAGTTAGGGGCAACAATCATCATGTCTTTCTAGGTAGGTGCAGGTGGCATAGGTCCCACCAAGTCAATGGCCCACTGCATAATGGCCATGGGCTATTATGCTGACGGTACACCTCGACTAGTAAGCCAGGTATTGGTTTATAACATTGGCACCGATCACATCTTTGAACATACTCTGTGGAGTCTTGGCGTATAGTAGGCTAGAAGTAGTCTGCGCTAAGAGCCTTTTAGGCAAGTGATCTGCCCCAAGTGTGGTTCCCGCATTCGCCATCGTGTATTTTGCAAAGTAGCTCAAGTGTTTGCAGGTACTTGATGCAGGTGAGATGAGGGCCGGAGTATAATCTGTGAACAAGCATGTTGTCCTTCATGTCGTATCTCACAGTTTCTGATTGATTTTTTGGCCTCTGACTTGTCGTTTGGCAAGTTCTCGATCACTAGGTAGTCGTTAATAGTATCTTACCAGCTAGGATTCTCATAAATCCACATCAAGTCCGGCTGCTCTGCCTCCTCAATGCTCGGTTGGTCAAGGTGCTCGACTGGGTTGGAACTTCTAAACTGGGAATCCAGCGTTGATCCGAGGCTTGCCAGTGAGTTTGCATGCGTGTTCTTTGTCCGGGACACTCATTGGATGGTGGAGGTAGGAAATGCCTACAACAGTTCTCGGATTTTGTCAATATATAAGATCATCCTTGGGTGTTTCGCCATATATTCTCATGAGGCTTGATTCATAATCAGCTGGAAATCTGAGTAAATTTGAGTGAGTAAAGCCTCGTATTCTGCCTCGTTGTTTGAGGCTGGAAAGCCAACATGATAGCTTGCTCCAACAAGATTCCATTCGGGGTGATTATGACGATGCCTGGCCCAACTCCCATTTGATTCGACTCTCCGTCTAAGCGCAACTGCCACATGTCTTCGGGTAGATCAAGCTCGGTGGATGAGGTCTTGTCTGCCCTCAAACTTTCCTTGTTTTCGTTGACCCGCTTCTCTTCTTCGGTCGATGAAGTGAATTATGTAACAAAGTCATCTAAAACATGGACTTTTATCACAATCTTCGGCCGGTAAAGGAGGTCGTATTGACTTAGTTCTATAGCCCACTTTATAAGTCGCTGAGAAGCGTCCAGGCCATGGAGAATTAATCTCAAAGGAAAGTTGGTCATGGAGAATTGATCCAGTGAGCTTGGTAGTAGGGTAGCAATTTTCTTGCAAGAACTACGAGGGCCAAAATGAGGTTCTCCATTTTCAGGTAGCGAGTCTTT